CCTGAAAAGCCTACAAGAGAAAGGATGCATGTGTTACACAGCAATGCTAATGAAGGACTCCAGTTTGCTAAAAAGAAACTGAATAAGCCATAAAATATACTGTTACTTTTAATCAGGATGTCACATATTCAAAATTTAACACAGCAAGATTCCTTTACAAACTATTCTGGACAGAGAAAGAAGTCTAGAAGTGCTACTACATTACAACTAAACAATAAACAATTTATTGCTCCTTAGTTGCCTACATTGTGCAGATACAGTTGTTCACAGACTTGGTATAAGCCAGGGACAGTGCTAGTTAAGTCATATAAAGACTTCTGGAGGCCAGGAAGACCTCCAGGTAAGTAGGAGGGCATAGATTTTAGTTCTTTTGTGTTGCTCTGTAAGAAGAACAAGAGGTTAGAAAAATATGGCCCCTAATTAATTATGTGAACACTAGACTCTGGATTTAATGGAAATTTCAGTGGAAATTTTCTCTCTCTTGTGCACAGAACAAAGTGACAGGCAGAGGATATCCCAGCACTATTTAAGGGTGCTTTAAAAGGGTGAGTGAGAATGTGTAAGTCAACACTAACAGAAGCACACATGATCCTTTACTGGTAGTCTTCTAATACAAAATATACAATATTCCTTGCTAAAGAAGTTAGAATGGTGTACATCATCCAAAGTTTGAGAGATACATGGAGATTTGGCTTCATACATACAGTCTGGAATTCTTTTGGAATATGTTGATCCGCACTCAGTTTGCAGATCTGTCGAGCCTTTTTCAGCAATTCCTTGCAATTCTCTGTAAGAACTTGCTTCCTATCATCCAGTTCATGAAACTGTTTCTGTTAGAAAAGATATTAAGATAAAATTTTTTTAACTTTTATTATATATTTCCAGCAGTGACACTAGCACACTGGCAGCAAACAACATCCAAATCAGAGAATGTAGGTGAAATCAGGCTGCTTAAATACCAAAAACGTTTATTTCAACACAGAGCACTCATTCTGCATTTCTGCTTGAAGTCAACAAATACCAAGGTGAACATGTTCTTGTAATATAGCTAAATTTATTTTCTCTCAACTATACAAGTGTGCATGCAAATTCAATATATGTCTCAAAGAGACTATTTTACAGGAAATTCCCTATAAGTCAAAACAGAGCTACTATGAGCCTTGTATTTTTCATTAGCTCCCATTTAACTATTTATCTGCTTGGGAAAACATGGTGGACATGATGTACAAGCAATGGTATTTTAGCTGAAATTTTACAGAGTAACTATTATCATTAAACAATCAGAAGTACTTCCTCTGCTGTTCCATATTCTACCTATGTAACACAGCCACCAAAATACAAACTGGAAACATACATAATATTTAAACTAGTGCTGAAAAATAAGTGAAAAGCAGGTACAGTTTCTGGTTTTGAACAGTGGTCGCAAGGCTAAACTCTATGGAACTTACCACAGGTAAAGTGGCCAAACCAGTCCTATGACTTTCATAACGCAATGTTACCACACCAGTAGTTAAAATACAGTACACAAAATATGATACTGTCATGAAACACTAAACTAAAGATTATCTCAAATAAGCAGTATTCAGGAAAAAAACTTGGAGAGCTTTAAGTATCTCTTCCCCTCTGCCCTCAGAAATCTCACTCACTTATGTCCACACAGGTGGTACCTACTGCAGGCCTGCTGCTTCCAGATGCTGAGCCAGCACTGCTTGGGAGTAACTCCTTACTGCTGTCTCCCAGCCCAGGTGAGCACCCAACCGCAGACAGCTGGGAGCTGCCAACTGCTTAGAAGTGGAGTACACACCAAGACACTGGACATTTTAACCCATGATATTTTACTATACATTTATTCAGTGATTATGCATGCAACCCATCTTTTTAACAGACAGTTACACCATAGGAAATCACTGTTTTCACTTTTTTCAGAATCAGAAAATTCAAACTCAAAATCCATATGCACAATATTTTTCCTTCAGAACTTTCTTCTGAGAGTTTGGAAAGTATAGTTATGTTCCTACACTTGAGAGAGCTTGATCTTCCCAATCTTCCCAATATTTATTGCTGAGTATTTCAGTTAAATATGGGAGCCCTCCAGTGGCAAAAAAAATAAATTCAAAGAGTGTTCACTTGGAGATTATACAGTTAGATAAATGTTTATTCTACATTTTTAAAATACAGAACAGAAACACTGATAGCAACTTGCATTACTTTCTGGAAATTTAATTAATCTTTATTTACTAAATACAACAGAAGCAGTAATAACACATATGATCATGAGTGACCATCAATGGAGTTCTCACTCCAAGCACCAAGAATTAGGGCTGCTATTCTCTACAGCATGTATCAACTCAAACCCCCTGTTTTCCCTTCCCTTCCCTTCCCTTCCCTTCCCTTCCCTTCCCTGAGCAATAAGATTTTGCATTAAAGGTAAGCATTTCACAATCTTCAAAAATCCACTGTAAAGGTATTTTTCTACAGCGTGTTGATGTTTTCAGAAAGGTAAAAAAAAAATATTTTTTAGATTTCCCTCCTAACCCCATAAACATCTCTTACAGAGAAGGAGGGAAATGTCACGTGGGGGCAAGAAGGACTGGCATTATAGCTATACTGATAAAATGGCAATAAGTGGAGGATGGCCCTGCTTTTAGTTACAGCCAAAAAGTTTTGGTTACATCTTGTCTCATTCTGAATTAGCACAAACAAAACTGTACACCACTGTGCCACTTAGGTTCCATTACATACCTGCATATGCTCTGTGATACACTCAATAAACAATTCTTTAGGAACACTTCAGAAAGTTCTAAATTAAAACTGGACTGTATTTTGGAACCCAGATATTTCAAAGCCAGTTTTCTGCATCTGAAATGTGTTTGACCTCATGACAATGAGGCAAAAGATCCAGTGAAAGGCAACACACCCATGTATTTTATACAAGAAATATAAATTTTATATTTCTGTGTTTGACCATTTCTAGAACCAAAATCAGTTCTGAATCATCTGAAGTGGGGAATCTCAACTCCCAACTATACATAAAACTCCCACTTGAAATCCTGCAGAGCTGCAGGAAACAAGATATTTGTGTTGATCTCTAGGCACTGAAAACCTGAAATAGATTCAACACTTAATATGCCTGATCCAAGTCTAAGGCAAGCAAAATTCTTCATGGTGTGAAAAGACACGTTTGGGCAGAGGAAAACCTCAGCATTCAACAGGAAGACTGGGAAGCTACAGACTTTTGATGTGGTTATGAGGCACATACTAGAATAAATGCACTGACAGTTCAACAACAAGGTAAGTCTCAATTTTCATTCAGCTGTGCCACTTGATTGTCATGGCCACATGCTAAAATAGTTAGACAAATAAAAATAAATAAAAATACACTTTTTTATTCCTTTTCCCTCATATAATTAAAAGTGCATGACAATGTTAAGGTTCATGTTGATTTCCTGAGGGTGTCTAAATAAAACCCACCTACATAAAAAAGTAACTCTAAGTAGAAAGAATTGCCACCTTGAACAGAGATGCTACCATGAAAAATCATAGCCTAGACAGAGCTTTTCATATGTTTCAGCCAATAGCATAAGAACCAACTTGGAAAGAACTTTTATCCAAGTATTTCAGTAAAGTTCTGTACCAGTGTAGGACTGTGACTACAGCTTCCTAAGAGGCATCTACCAAAGAGCATGCAGCGACCTGTTTGCAAGACTTCCTTGAAATGTTGCGATGGTGTCCTCACACGCCACTTTGGAGCAAGACAACCTTAACACAGTAATGCTGTAGAAAAAGAAAAATCACAGCCAAAGCCACTAAGAAGCTGGAGAGAAGGGCCAGTTTAAACTTACTATTTCAGATAACATTTGATTTGAAATGAAGCTAAGAAATACTGTTTTTCCCAAGAAAGTGCAACCCTTAAGGCAGAAAATAAGAAACAAACCACAGACCGTAAAAACACACCATTCACAGGGCAACATGGGAAAGAAAACTTAAAAAAAAACAAACAGGCTGAAGACTTAAAAGACTGAACATGCACCATATGGAGAAGCATGGCTTTGGACTTCCACGTATGCAAAAACTTAAGATGCACGTGAATACTCAGAATAGTTTTCCTCCAGAGAAGTCAAACTTCTCAAAATACTAATCATTGGGATTACTGATTTTAGGGCTTTTTTCTGTTTCCTAGAACTTTACAGAACCA